TTAGTTAGAGAGGAGCCTTGGTAGTACAGTGGTTTAATGCACCCTGTAATTAACACAGCTGCCTGCAATTTCTGCAGGTTCGAATCTTACCAGGCTCAAGGTTGACTCAGCCTTCCATCCTTTCTAAGGTAGGTGAAATGAGGACCCGGTTTGTGGGGGCAATAAGCTGACTTTGTATAAATATACAAAAGTATGAAGGCTATTGCTTAGCGCATTGTAAGCCGCCCTGAGTCTCCGGAGAAGGGCGGCATATAAATAAATAAAAAATAAAATAAAAGAGTTAATGGCTGCTCCATTTTTCAACCTGCCAGGTTTAGCTGGAATTAACCACGATTTGATGGGGGAGAGGGCTCCGCATGTAATGTAAAAAAAGGCCCACTTGCTTAGTTTAGGATTCGGTGCAAATCCAGGATATGATTAATTGGGAAGCAGCTCTTGTTTGCATCTAAAGTACTGAAGGCTTTAGATGCACATTATTGATCTTGTCTTGATGGGTAGAGCCATCCACAGGTAGACGTGTCCAAAAGGCCCCTCAAAACAAACACCCAGTGTGTTTAATAGTTCCCTGAATTTGGAGTTGTTTCACGATCAATGCTTACAGGCTTCAGTGATAGACAATACCGTAGTGACATTCTTTTAAAGTCGCTGGTGAATGCCAGCTTCTTCACGGAACTCAAAGAGTGAATCCCCACACGATGCCCATGATGCCCATTTTAGAAAGGTAGATTCGGATGCGAATTTTGTAATCTTAATCTTACTTCACTTTTTTTTTTTTATTTGATTTATATGCCGCCCTTCTCCGGAGACTCAGGGCGGCTTACAATGCGCTAAGCAATAGCCTTCATCCTTTTGTATATTTATACAAAGTCAGCTTATTGCCCCCACAAACTGGGTCCTCATTTCACCTACCTTAGAAAGGATGGAAGGCTGAGTCAACCTTGAGCCTTGGCGAGATTCGAACTTACAGTAATTGCAGGCAGCTGTCTTAATAACAGGGTGCTTTAGACCACTGTACTACCAAGGCTCGTTTTGTGCAAACTTCATCGCGCTTGCTTCATGTATTCTGAAATTAGCTGTATTTTCCATAGCATAAATGCAGACAGAGGGGGAACAGTGATGGCCAAATTCTATGAATAAAGCAAACACAGAAATACTGCCGTCTCTGAGAAAAAAAAACACCCTCTAACCTATCAAAAATCTAATCCAATTTTTATATGTCATGTGGCAACAAACGTTTTCTATTTATTCATAAATGTGTATCTAAAAATGAGACAGCCCTCTTTAATAACTCCTTGGATTCACTGAAAATATTACTCGAGTCACAAGATGAGTGGCCTATACATTTGATAAAATAAATAAATAAAGATTTTGACTACAAATAGCGCTTTGAAAGAGAGCTTAAAACAGATTTACGTGTTGTAGTCCGCCAGGAGGGGGTCGACCTTCAAAGCACCAGAAGGCAAGGCAAGAAACAACGGATGGAAACTAATCAAGGAGTGAAATAAACTGGAATTAAGGAGAAACTTCCTAACGGTGAGGACAATTAACCAGTGGAACAGATTGCCACCAGAAGTTGTGGGTGCTTCATCACTGGAGGTTTTTTAAAGAAGAGACTGGAGTGTCACTTGTCTCAAATGGTATAGGACCGTGATAGCGAATCTATGGCACACGTGCCAGAAGTGGCACGCAGCACCCTCTCTCGTGGGCACGCAAGCCGTCGCCCCAGTTCAGCTCTGCCGTGCATGCCTGCGTGCCTCACGCCAGCCTGCGGGTCTCTGCCACGCATGCATGGGGGGTGGGACATGTACGGGCGATGCGTGTGCATGTACAGAGGGAAGTGCTTGTGCGTGGGGGGCATGCGTGTGGTGGGGCTCATGCAGGGGCCCGTGGGCTCATGCACGGGCAGGGGGGCACATGTGGGATGCATAAGGGGGCTGTGAAGTTTCCGAAAGATGCCCTAATTAATTCATGAGCCATGAGCCGAACTTCAAAAGAAATGCAGTCATTTATTAGGAGCACCATTTCAGCAATATTCGGATGCAGTTAGAACTAATCCCACGTAGATTTACGTTCCCCTATGACCCTGTCTCTCCCCCCCTCTCTCTGGCCATGTCATAAATCACATTCTCCAATTAACCACTGTGAAATCCAACACCCTCCTTCTGATTGCGGTCAGGAAGAATGTATGGAATGCAGCTTCAGTTAGGGAAATCAATCAGCTCTATCAGTTCTCCCTCCCTCCTGCTCATGGCAACTTGAAAGCTTTGCAAGGTGACAGGGGCTGCATGCGCATTATGCATATGGGGGTTCACATATGCGCATGCTTTGGGCACTCGGTCTGAAAAAGGTTAGCCATCACTGGTATAGGGTCTTCTGCTTGAACAGGGGGTTGGACTAGAAGACCTCCAAGGTCCCTTCCCGCTCTGTTCTGATTGATTGATTGATATCAGCAAGCATTAAAACATATTGACTGACTTAAACTAATGAGCTCCAGAATGTTGATGAAATATGACAGAAATGATCATGAGTATATTTTAACTCCCATCCTTTTTGTCGAGCGATCACCTCGGTTTTTTCATCCCGAGGACAACGGCTCTTGTTTTGTCTGCCCAGGGGCCCACTTGAGCGACAGGATTGCTAGTTCACACCAGGATGACGCTACCCACACGTTGAAGCTACTAATAATCACACAGCAAGCTGAAGGCGTGATTTGCATGTCGCGTGGTGTGCAGCTTCAAAATAACCCTTCCAATAAAAGGACAGAGAAGAGGAACCGAGAGTGGTCATGCAGTGGAAGAAAGCAGTTTTCCCTTCGAATGTAAAGTTGAATAAATAGCCTTCAGAAAAACCAGTAAAACAAGTTGAAATGTCTGTATTCAGCAGGTGTGTTTAACACTGAGAAACTTATCCAGGTATCCTTTATAGCAGGGGTCTCCAACCTTGGCCTCTTTAACCCTGGAGGACTTCAATTCCCAGGATTCTGCAGAATAGCATAGTATAGCATAGCATAGCATAGCATAGCATAGCATAGCATAGCATAGCATAGCATAGCATAGCATAGCATAGCATAGCATAGCATTTCTTTATTGGCCAAGTGTGATTGGACACACAAGGAATTTGTCTTTGGTGCATATGCTCTCAGTGTACATAATAGAGTAGAGTAGAGTAGAGTAGAGTAGAGTAGAGTATAATAGAATAGAATAGAGTTCTTTATGGCCAAGTGTGATTGGACACACAAGGAATTTGTCTTTGGTGCATATGCTCTCAGTGTACATAAAAGAGTAGAGTAGAGTAGAGTAGAGTAGAGTAGAGTAGAGTAGAGTATAATAGAATAGAATAGAGTTCTTTATTGGCCAAGTGTGATTGGACACACAAGGAATTTGTCTTTGGTGCATATGCTTTCAGTGTACATAAAAGAATAGAGTAGAGTAGAGTAGAGTAGAGTAGAGTAGAGTAGAGTAGAGTATAATAGAATAGAATAGAGTTCTTTATTGGCCAAGTGTGATTGGACACACAAGGAATTTGTCTTTGGTGCATATGCTCTCAGTGTACATAAAAGAGTAGAGTAGAGTAGAGTAGAGTAGAGTAGAGTAGAGTAGAGTAGAGTAGAGTAGAGTAGAGTAGAGTAGAGTAGAGTAGAGTAGAGTAGAATAGAATAGAATAGAATAGAGTTCTTTATTGGCCAAGTGTGATTGGACACACAAGGAATTTGTCTTTGGTGCATACGCTCTCAGTGTACATGAAAGAATAGAGTAGAGTAGAGTAGAGTAGAGTAGAGTAGAATAGAATAGAATAGAATAGAATAGAATAGAATAGAATAGAATAGAGTTCTTTATTGGCCAAGTGTGATTGGACACACAAGGAATTTGTCTTTGGTGCATACGCTCTCGGTGTACGTAAAAGAAAAGACACGTTTGTCAAGAGGAATATAATATAATATAATATGAGTAGACTAGACTAGACTAGACTTTTTTATTGGCCAAGTGTGATTGGACACTCTCGGTGCATAATCTCTCAGTGTAGATAAAAGAGAAGAGGCGTTCATCAAGAATCATAAGGTACAACCCTTAATGATAGTCGTAGGAGACAAATAAGCAATCAGGAGACAATCTCCATCTAAATGGTGAGGCAGTCCCAATTGGGGGGAGGCGGGTGGGGGGGGGTCATGAAGGCATAAAGCAGTGTTTCTCAACCTTGGAAGCTTGAAGATGGGTGGACTTCAACTCCCAGAATCCCCCAGCAGCAACGCTGGCTGGGGGATTCTGGGTGTTGAAGTCCACCCATCTTCAAGCTCCCAAGGTTGAGAAACCCTGGCATAAAGGAAGACATATATGGAGGAAAGATTTGAGTAAGAAGAGAGAATAAATATCCATGTAGATACAGGAAGCTGTGAAACAATATATGAATGTTATGTTTGTTAGGTGGTTTTTAATGCATCTTTGTTTTCTTGTTGCATTTTCCTTTACTTTGTTTTTAAAACTTAAAAAAAAGTCAATAAAAATTATTATTTTTTAAAAAAAGAGAGATATATGGAACGCAGCTGCAGACACACACACACACACACACACACACAGATCCAGCCATGCGCATCCTGCAGTTCGCTGACGTCAATCCGTGCGATGACGTCACGGCGCGACGTCATCGCGACTCCCCCCCCCTCTTCCCTCCGGCCCAGCTCTCGCTCTCTCTCTCTCCTTTGCAAGAGACCTCGCCTCGGCTCCCCACCCACCCAACGTCCACAGCCGACCGCTGAGGGGCAAACCCATCAGCCACGGCAGGTACAGGCCGGGGCGGAGGGGGGGGTAAGATTCACGTGACGCAAAGTGGGCGGGGCCGAGCGGGCGGCGCAGGCGCGCCACCTTCCGAGGAGGGGGGCGGGCCCCTCACCCGAGCGCCACGCCCCTTTCTCTGACTCCTCCCCCGTGCCGCGCGGATGAGCCACGCCCCCTTTTCATTTCCCCCCCCCTTCCTCCCCCTCACGCCGCTGCGGGTCGAGGCTCGCTCGGTCGGTCGGTCGCGCGCGCTCCGGTCCGGCTCTTTCCCCTCAGCAGCCCCGCCGGCCTCGCCGTCGCCATTTCCAGCCGCTGCTCGCCGCCATGGCAGGTGAAGGGATGGGGGGACCCCTCCCCACACCCCCCCATTCACCCCCCCCCGCCTCAGGGAGGGCCCTCAGGCGAGGATTCCCGCTCCCATCGTCCCCCTTCGCCTCAGGGGGTGTCATTCCCCGCTCCCTCCCGCTCCCCCCTCCCTTTTTCAGACCCCCCCTTCCCTCCCCCCCCTTCGGGGTCGGTGCTCCGGCCGCTGGAGGCTCTCGGGGGGGGGTCGCCTTCCTCCGCAGCCACGCCCCTCTTTTTAATACGGGGGGAGGGATGCCCCTCCCTGCGATGCGGTGCCATTTTGCTGCCCGACCCCCCCCCCACCCATCCTTCCCCCCCCCCTCACACTGCCTCGGCCCCCCCTTCCTTCTCCTTTACCCCTCCCCCTCCCCAAGTACACGTGCCCCCCCCTTCCCGGGGTGGCCTTGGGGTCGGGAGGGGGAGGGGGAATGGGGGAGGGGGCTGGGTGGTGGGGTGGGGAGAGGGGGGAGAGGGAAGGTCCTCTGCCCTTGGTCTCTGCCTCCATCTTCCTTGGCCACAAAATGGGAGGCCGGGGTGGAGGAGGAGGAGGAGGCGTTGGGGGCGAACTCACCTGCGGCCGAGGCCGGGTGAGCTTCACCGGTTCCCCCGGCACGTGGCTGGAGCCTCCTGGGGAGGGGAGGGGAAGAAGAGGGGCTGCTGACTTTCGGGACCAGGAGGCAGCCTAGGATGGGAAGTCTCTCTCCTGCTTGCAGATGCAGTAGCTTCCATCTGTCTTATCTCTCCTCCTTTTATCTATGTGTACTTTTATATCTATCTATCTATCTATCTATCTATCTATCTATCTATCTATCTATCTATCTATCTATCTATCTATCTATCTCAGTCTGTCTGTCTGTCTATCTATCTATCTATCTATCTATCTATCTATCTCAATCTATATCTATAATCTATCTATCTCAGTCTGTCTCTATAATCATACCTACCTACCTACCTATCCTACCTCTATATCTATCTAGTATCTATCTATCTATCTATCTATCTATATCTATCTATCTATCTCAGTCTGTCTGTCTGTCTATCTATCTATCTATCTATCTATCTATCTATCTATCTATCTATCTATCTCAGTCTGTCTGTCTGTCTGTCTATCTATCTATCTATCTATCTATCTATCTATCTATCTATCTATCTATCTCAGTCTGTCTGTCTGTCTATCTATCTATCTATCTATCTATCTATCTATCTATCTCAATCTATATCTATAATCTATCTATCTCAGTCTGTCTCTATAATCATACCTACCTACCTACCTATCCTACCTCTATATCTATCTATATCTATCTATCTATCTATCTATCTATCATCTATCTCTCCATCCATCCATCTCTCTCTCTCTCTCATCTATCCATCTCTCTCTCTCTATCTATCTCCTTCCATCCATCTCTCTCTCTCTCTATCATCTCTCTATCCATTCATCCTATCTATATCTATATGTGTGTTTGTCTGTATATGTAGCATATACAGTATATACATATAGATACACAATATATCTAAGATATATAAAGATATATGTAATAATAAAGATCTGTCTGTTATCTCTGTCTGTCTCATGCACTCCATCCATCCATCTGGAATGGTGAAGGTTCTGGCTTAAAAGCCGGGGTGGGGGGGGGGGGTGGGGTGTTCTGAGTTCTAGGCCCTCCTTAGGCTTGGAAGTCATCTGGGTGACCTTTGGGCCAGTCACTCTTTCTTAGCCCAACCCACCTTATAGGGTTGTCCAGGCAGGGAAAAAAATATAATAATATTGTACATTTTTTTGAAAGCTGAATAACGCAGCTGAGTTCCGTCTATGTGGCTTTTGTCATAAATTGATTGGATCTGATATTTTATCATACCACGGGGTGTGATTTTTATTTTCCCCCACTCGTCTTCATTTCTGATAAGCTCTCGAGCTAGATCTGACTGTAATTTATCGGGTGAGTAGTTAGCAGAGTATTGGGTTTTAATTAATCTATATGGAAGGTTCTTGGTAAGGGACATTTTTTAAAGCAAAGTTGCCTTTGAGCCCATCCTCTGCCAGCCGGCCTCCAGACTCAGTTTTTCTCCTTACAGAAATGATTTGCCATTGTTGTTTGCAGGGGTGTTTTGTGGAATTCTCTGTTTGATTCTAGTGCTGAACTTCCTATACAGTCCCAGCTAAATACTAACCAGGACAAACCCACCTTAGCCAAGCTGAGTTGGTAATATTTAGTCTAATGTAAAATGGAAGCATTATACTAATATCTAGAAATTATTTTTGTCATCGATCAATAAAAATGTAGCTAGATATTTAAGTATCATAGAAATACAGAAGAGCTACAGATTGATATTAGCACACTTTAATGTGTTATCTACAGCTGAACTATAAGAAAATTCTGGGGGGAGATTGCCACTGCTGGTGCAGAATAGACCTTTTTGAAACCATAAGTCATTTTGATTATACAGCATGGCATTTTTCATTTGTTGCCCAATTCTGGAAATATTAATTCTTCTGGAGAATTCTACTGTTGGGTCCGAATGGTTTGCTTTGCCTAAATATTTTTGAATGTTATGTTGCCTGTAGAATTCTTTTGGTGTTGACTATATAATATAATTACTTTATGATTGATGATGTTAGTTTTTAGTAAATCTATTAATTGTGTGACTTGCATATTTGTGATCTTTACCTTAACAAGAATAACAGCACCTTCCATCTCTGACTTCATTTCCCTGTCACTCTGGTTTTATGGTTTGATCTTAGTTATTCTTACTATTTAATCAAATATCCCATCTGATAACAGTGTGATCACTTTGGTATTCTGTCCTGACGCAGGAATGAAGGTATTTTGAAACTTCATAATTATTAAATTTCTGTCTTACAATTTTTTTCTGCGAATGGTTTGTTCTAATCATATGCTTACATCCATTCAATCTTGAAAATGAGAGGATGAACCTATAGTTTAAGTAATTGCTTAATAACTTTTTATTCTCATCAGAATCAATAAAAAATAGAACAATGCCCAGAATGATGGTGGATATTATGAGAAAAAGATAGTGCAACCTGGTGTGAACATTAATCTCAGTGTAAGAGATATGACTCCAGTATTCAGTTCTGAGAATGGTGACACAAAGCTGAATCAGCAGAATGATCAGCAGAATCGCATTGGAAACTTACAAGATAGAAGCCGAGTCATCTTACAGAATTTTGTAGTGGTTCTAAAGGGACTATGCTTGCAGTCTGTAATACTGTTGACAGCCTGGAAGAAACAATGACGTGTTTTAACAATAGAAATATTAACTATCTTGGAGTAAGTCTATGGGTTGGTTAATCATTTATAAATAAGGATATTTCCCGAGAATCTGGAAAAAACCTGGACAACCCATGTGCTCTGTAGGGTCATTGTTTTGAAGATAATTCTTTAGTGCCATCAAAAATTGCAGAGCTTCTGGTGTTGTGGAAGAGCTCTTAAAAATTCAGGGAGATATTCAGAGATGTATCTGCTCTGAAAATATCTCATGTTGAACTATATATTACAGTCAAACACCAGCAGTTGATCGCAGGAAATCTTTTGTGACAATTTGTATGGAATAGATAATTTTTATGCCATAAATGTTTTATATAATTTGCCAAATTTCAAGGGAATCATGGGGTCCCAATGTGTTTTTTAAATTAGCCCATTTGAGGGACCTTAGTTGAAAATGTTTTGCTTTATGTTGCATTATATTGGCCAGTTAAAGGTTATAGCCATGAGCGTTTTAATAGGATATAGATGAGAGGTGACACCTTGCTGTATAACTTTTCATCTGCAACTTGTGCAAGTTACACGTGTATTAAACAAAACGTTAGATAATGCCCTCCAATATTGCGGAATTTTTGTAATACATTACTAAATCCCTAAGGTAGGTCTCATTGAATGTTTTTTGTGCTTGAAATAAGAGGAAATTAACTGGAAATGCTTCTCTCCTTCTCTTCAGTTAACTAATCTGCTTCCCTTTAATTTTTATTGAACTTAAGTTGCTGATTTCCACATATCCTTCATGAAACTGTAGTTCAACTGTCATAATTGGAAATGCGCCTGATTAAATACCACCGGTGTAATTGAATGGAGCTGCAGGAATAGGACCTAGTTCTGATTCAGTCTTCTTGTTGTTGTTGCTTGGGTCTGTATCTGTAGCTCAGAGATAGAACTGATGGGTAGAAGTGATGCTTGCCGTTTGTGAGGTCATGGAGATGCAATCATATTTTTGTGAGTTAACGTTTTTCAAATCTGCAAAATAATGATGTGAACTCACTGAAAATTCATTTTGCATGATTATTACAGAAAATTATGCAGGCAGGGTTGTTGTAATAATAACATCATGAAAAAATGCTCCAGGAACCGCACAAATCATTAAAAGGTGTGCTGATTGAGTTTACCTGAAAAAGAAATTGTGTTACCTGAAAAGGGCTTGGATTGGTGAGAAATAATCAAAGAATCAATGATAAATCTGTAAGCCATGCAGACTCGCTTTGTAGGGGAGGTGCCAGATTCACTGCATTGATTCACTTGACGACAGTGGCAAAAAATGGTCCTAAAATGGGGCAAAACTCACTTAACAAGTGTGTTGCTAACTTAACAACTGCAGTGATTCCCTTAACAACTTTGGCAGGAAAGGCCACCACTGTCTCCCACAGCAACAGACATTTTGGGTTCAACTGTAGCCGAGGACTGCCTGGACGAATTCTTATTTAAAAGCTGCAGTGGTTGTAAGTGTGAAAAGCGGTCGTAAGTCACTTTTTCAGTCCTGTTGTAACTTTTGAAAGTTCACTAAATGAACTTGTGCAAGTCGAGGACTACCTGTAAATGTGCGTTTTTAGCTAGGATTAAGCTTATGTTGATTTAGGGTACCAGACATGGCACTTATTAATTAGGATTAAGGTTATGTTATATTAAGGTGCTGTGGTGGCACAGTGGCTAGAACGCAGTATTGCAGGCTTAATTCAGCTCACTGCCAGGAGTTCAATCC